CAGCAGGAACAATTCTTTTCCACAGACATTACAGACATGACACAGACTGTAGAAAGTCATGATGTAGAACAAATATTTCTGTAAAGTTCATATTGATCATATGTGGAAGAACAGAAACGGACACGCGTCATGTGACCCAGATTGTACTGGATCATCACTCAGATGTGAGTCACAGTTTTCTTAAATGTAAAAACTTGGCAAAAAAAACATTAGCAGTATAAATGTATGTTAAATGTTAGCTAACTTCATAGCCAGGGACAGATTGAACAGACTGGTTTTCCTGTGGAAGAATGTTTGAAAATACAGTTAGAAAAAAAAAGTTGTGAACCAATAACTGGTTAAAGTAGAGTTTAAATCAGGGAGTCCACTTCACAGATCAGATGTCAAATCCTGATGAAAACCTTTTCATAAAACATAAAAATAAAACTCACAAATCAGACGCAATTTAAAAATAAAAAAATTTTAACCTCTTCACAGTGTGTGTAGACGGTGGAGCTGATCAGGGGCCCGGGGCCGATGACATCATCACTGTGTTTCTGTGGAGCTACACTCAGATCAACATTCATCACAGCACTAATCTTTTTTCTTTTTTCTGCCCGACGACTCAGAGCGCACATGTTTCAGTGACGCACCTCCGCCTGACGCCAGGTTAGTTCCTGGTGTTGTGCAGATGTGTGCGCGGCTCAGACGGACGATGACTCGGCCTTGTTGAGGAGCAGAATGATGAGTCATTAAGTGTTTTTAGGAGGCCTTTTTCAGATGTCGGCTCCCCTGCACGCCCCTCCCTCCTGCCTTCAGCTTTGCCTGTTCATTGCAAATTAGGAGGCGGCGGGGGGGGGGGGGGGGGGGGGGGGGTGATATGGACCACTGTATATATACTGTATATCCTATTCACCAACCTGAAACTGTGTGTGTGTTGTTTTAAGTCAATATTTCTTTGGGGAGGGGGTCCATACAGCTCTCAGGGTTCTACTCTAGGTCAGAGCACATCTGAATGATCACCCCCCCCCCCCATATATATATATATATCTATATATATAGATGATATACTGTATATATTAGACATACATATACATGTATACATATATGGATGGATGGATGGATGGATGGATGATGGATGATGGATGGATGATGGATAATAAATGATAGATAATGGATGATGGATGATGGGTGGATGATGGATGATGGATGATGGATGATGATGGATGATGGATGATGGATGGATGATGGATAATAAATGATAGATAATGGATGATGGATGATGGGTGGATGATGGATGATGGATGATGGATGGATGATGGATAATAAATGATAGATAATGGATGATGGATGATGGGTGGATGATGGATGATGGATGATGGATGATGGATGATGGGGGAGGGGCTACAGAGAGGAGCAGCACTGCACAGTTCACTGCACAGTGACCAGCAGTGACCAGCAGTGACCAGCAGTTGTGCTGCGTCAGATATGATTCCAGTGCATCGCTGCTGTAACCCACCCCAGTTGATGATAACTGGTGGTTTAGCTCAGAGTTCACTGCACCACAGCTCCACCTGCAGGCCAACAGAACCTGGAGTGGTCAGGGCGAACACTGGATGTCACTGGAGTTCATACAGAGAGAGAGAGAGAGAGAGAGAGAGAACAAATGATCAATGAGAAAAAATCCACAGGACAAAAATGTTGACTTCTGTGACGACAGTGTGACGAACCAAGAGCCAGAACTTCCTGTTGATCCACTGGATCCTGTGCAGTGTTCACAGGCTGGTCATATCAGTCACCTCCTCCTCCTCCTCCTCCTCCTCCTCCTCCTCCTCCTGATCTCCCACCAGATTACAGGTTTGTCCAGAGCAGAGAACATCCCTGGCGTCTCTCTCCTCAGCGGACAGACTTGAACGCCTCCTGACAGGAAACCCGTCCACGACCTCAGACTCCATTCTCAGAGTTAACGACCCGCCCCCCTCCTCCATCGAGTGTCTTCTGGTCTGCAGGAAGTTGCCCCTTTGTATGGAACTCTGGAGCGTGTGAAGCTGGCAGGAGAACAGCGAGCCGTCCCACAGACTGGGACTGGAGCGGCACCAGTCTGAGAGGCTGCGGTCAGATCCCGCCTGGCGTCCCGTGCTGCCCCTGACCATCTGTCCTCGAGCTAAGCTCAGCAGCCTGGGGATGGTGACCAAAGACGCGGCGGCAGCGGCGGCAGAGATGTTGTGGTGCTCAGCGGCAGACTCTTTGGTCTGGGTTCCCTCAGTAACTGGAGACATGACGGCGGTGGCCTCAGAGAAGGGGGCGGGGCCAAAGAGAGAAGCCACTTTCTGGTAATACCTGGTGCGGATCACCTTAGCCGATCGGTACAGATCTCCGATCAGACAGTAACAGATGGGGTTCAGGCTGGAGTTGGTCAGACCCAACCACTGAGCGAACGGACGTGTCTGCAGCAGCCAGGACGGCGGCCTCTGGACGCAGTCGATCCACAGGTCGGCCAGATAGAGCGGCAGCCAGGAGGTGGCGAAGAGCAGCACCAGACTCACCACCATCTTTGCGATTTTCTGCCGAATCTTTAGGCGGGAGTTGTGCAGCGCTCGGCTGCGTGGGTCCAGTTCGCTGAAAGTAGATCTTTTCCCTCCCCACAGTCGTCTCCCGGTCAGGAAGCCGATGGTGAGGTTAAAGGTCACTGGCAGGCAGTAGAGCATAACGAACAGCAGCACGTTGTATCTGTTGAAGAAGAATGAAACGTTAACCTGACATTCAGTGACGCGGTGGCTCAGTGGGTTCTGCATTCTGCCCATAAACGTCAACCAGTCCGTCTGTCTTTGTAACAGTTCGTAACACTCTTCGTAACAGCGTGGAACCAGGTCTCACTGCAGCGGAACAGACGAAGGAACGTGTCGATGAGCCATCAACACCACGACACCACGACACCACGACACCACGACACCACGACACCACGACACCACGACACCACGACACGCTGCAGTTGAACGTTCCGACTCTTCCTCGTTGAAATTTATTTTTAAACTCTTTTTTCTTTTTCAGGCTTGAGTTGGAGATGAAAGAATGAGAAAATGATGAATCAACAGTTAAAGATTAACATCAGCTTCTGTCTTTATTTGAAAAAAAAAAAAAAATCTTTCATTTGAGAATGCGCTTTAAAAAACTGAATCAAACTGCCAATATTTAATGAAATATAAATTCATCTGTGTCTAGATTATTAAAAACAAAGTCAAAAATGAGTTTGATGAAGAGAAAACATAAGATGATTATATTATTATTGTTATTAAATATATTCATTTATTTTTATTTATCATTATTATTACTATTGTTGTTGTTGTTGTTGTTGTTGTTGTTACAGGCCACAGGAGGTCAGTATTAAGAGCTGGTTTAACTTCAGCCTCTGGTTCTGTTTCTAACAGCCTGAGGTTGGAGGTCCATGAGTCTGGACCACTGTCCAATCACAGACAGTCTAGACCACGTGGGTCACTGTTGGCTAACTATGTCCTGAATTCAACCAGTGGGGCGTGGCCTTAAAATGACATAGACAATCAGTGCAGATGGAAGAGGAAAAGACAGTGCTGACCCCTGCCACTGGAGGGGGGTATCACCACCTCACTGGACAACACGGATGTAACTCTTAACCCACTGGGCTTTATTGTCTAATTTCTGCTAAATGGGATCAGCACTGGAACCACAGGATGTAGACCGACCTCACAGTGACCTCACAGTCGTACCTGTCAGTCAGAAGGGCACAGCCCCACACTACACCTACCCTTGTTTCAGCCGATGCTGAGGCCACTCCTCCTGACAGACCAAGATGGCAAAAGTCCCAAAGCTGATCTCCCTCCGTCGGTTCATCACCGCAATCGGGGCACACATGACGAAGGAGACCACCCAGACCACCAGCAGGGTGGCCAAGAGTCTGCGTCGGGTGAACATGGACCGAGCTCGCAGAGGGGATTTGACGCTGTAGTAACGATTGACGCTGATCACCGTCAACGTCAACACACTGGCAGAGACGGAGACCGCCTGGGTGAAGGGCACCGCCCGGCAGAGGAGGTCACCGTAGACCCAGGCCGTGTAGATCTGGCTTCCCAGAGTGATGGGCATGCAGACGCACACCACGGCCAGGTCGCACAGAGCCAGGTTGACCAGGAGGCTGCGCGTGGCGCTGACACTCGCCAGTCGCCGGTTACGTCTGTTGGTGAGGACTCGCAGGGACGTCAAATTCCCAAAGAATCCCAACATGAAGGACAGAGTGTACATGGTGGTCAAAGCGATGGTGCTGGGCTCCTGCAGGGTCCACAGCAGCATGCTCTCCAAATCAGTGTGCAGGGACGGAGGAAGGGAGGAAGGAGAGGAGGGGAGGCTGATGGTGGAGGCCACCACCAGGTGGCTCTCAGTCAGGTTGACTCTGGGCCGGACCGAGTCGGAATCCAGAGGATGTTCCTGGGAATGGGCCATGGGGGAAACACGGCGCACTGAAGAAGGCGGGAAGAATCAGGTCCACGTGTTTTCTTTGGTTCTTTTGAAAATCTTTGAGTCTGTGTTTGTGAAGCAACGTTTATCTTTAATCTTCCATCTTGGGGAACAGTTGCATCTCTTTCAGAGCGGTCCATCCAAGATGGACTTCATTACCCCCCCCGCACCCCCCCCCCTTCTGACCCTCCCAGGGAGTGGAAGTGGGATCCTTTTAAAAGACTTCCCCCTCCCCCAAGAAAAGAAAACCTTCATATCCTCCTAATCCTGCTGCTGCTGCTCGTGAGCTTCATCTTCATCATCTTCATCATCATCTTCATCCACCTGCTGCTCTTCCTCCGAGTGCAGCTGTTATCAGTCACACTGGACCACACTGGACCACAGGCCGTAGCTTTAACATTTCTGGCTGAGGAAGTAAAAGAGTGACAGAATGAAGTATTTGTACTGTATACACACTTGTAAGTACTTCAAATACTTTAGAACGATTGCGTCATTTACTCTGTACCGTCAGCGTCTTTGATTCACGTTCATGACAAAAAAAAAAAGAATATTGAACGGAGTTAAAGAGAAATCCCGACTGTGAGAAACGAGAAGAGAACTCACCGTGGGCTGGAAGTCGTTCTCCCCACGGTCACGTCAAAACACGGCACAGATGTTGAAGGTCTGCGCAGAGTAACGACGAAATGACGGTGAAGACGTGAAGGAGGAAAAGAACTGTACGGTTTGTTCCTTTAGTCACTGGACAGTCCCACANGAGGAGTAGTCAGCGGTCCGCGACTCCTCTCTGCGCCTCCTCACATCCCTGCCCTCCTGGAGGGTGAGGGAGAGAGAGAGAGGAAAACAGGAAGGGCTCTTTCCCCCTCTCTCTCTCTCTCTCACACACACACACACACATTAATTCATTGAAACCATCTCCACATCAGGATGTCACCTTTATACTAGTAGTACCATGGAGTATTCAAAGACACATTACTGCAGTAGATGCAGGACTTTCAGTCCAATCAAGACACTCAGCACACATTTATCACTGCAGTACCAGAGCTGGGCAGCAGGGTAGAGTATAGAGTACAAAATCCACGACCTCCGGGCTGTGACGGCTGTGATGAAGTGAGGCTAACCAGTGTAGGTCGTCTGATGACATGTCGCGGCTGAAGTAGCAGCCCGAGGCGGACGTTCTGGAACATACACTGACACCAGGACTGACGCGGAGATTTTTCTCTCCGTTCATTGGCTGCCTCTCACCACAGCCCCTGGAGGAGTACCCTTCCCTACGGTCCACGGACTCCTGTTGCCCCGGCACAACTTTACTGAGCTGCGGCACACAGCAGCAGTGACGTAACGCCACAGTGAGGCTGCACATGTGAATATGCAGTACAGATACTACTGTAGTATAAGGTACTCAACAAAATGTACACAGCTGCTTGTAGGGTCATTGCGTTTGTTTTTTTTAGGTTGAAGGAAAAGTCTGTCACCACTGCAGAAATATTATAAATATTTGTCCTCCTCCACTAGATGGCAGCAGTTAGCTAAGAAACAAATGATCAGATCTTCAGTCCCTGCCGATCATCATCATCATCATCACATCATCACCATCATCATCATCGTCACATCATCATCATCATCATAATCACCATCACCATCACCATCATCATCATCATCACATCATCATCATCATCATAATCACCATCACCATCACCATCATCATCATCATCACATCATCACCATCATCATCATCATCACATCATCATCATCATCATCATCACATCATCATCATCATCATAATCACCATCACCATCACCATCACCACCATCATCACCATCACCATCATCACCATCATCATCATCATCATCTTCTTCATCATCATCATCATCATCATAATCACCATCACCATCACCATCATCATCATCATCATCTTCATCTTCATCTTCATCATCATCATCATCATCACATCATCATCTTCATCATCATCATCATTCCTCTTTCAGTTCCACTCACACCAACACTGTTAGACCCCAGGTCACCTGACCCCTGCTGGATAAGATAAGACAGTGTTTGTGCCTTCACCGCCTCCTTTTCACTCTGCACGTGAACACGTCGCCACCTTCAGGCCTCTTATCGCACACACACCTCAACGCTTCTGAGCTCACGTGACCAGCAGGGGCAGCTTCACTGGGGGTTAAATGTAAATCCTGGTGTCGGCCAGTACTTCTACTACTGTAGTACTGCAGTGTACTTTATTTTTATACTCTGCTGCTGTAAACACTGAGCTTTTCCCACTGTTTGACCTAAAAAGAACTGATGTCGGAGAAACTCAGCCTTTTGGCTCCAACTGGGTGAATTTTGAATTTGATCTTTAAATGTTCACTAATGTGGATTGTCCCTCTATAACAAATAAAGATAAATAAATAAATAGTAGAAGTAGTAAAAGCACTTGTAGTATTAGTGAAAGTAGTAGTATTTATTGAACTGGTCATAGTAGTTGTACTGTTGTACTGAAGTATTCGATCAGAATACTTTTTATACGGACTTTTCTTCTACCTCCTCCGTTATTCTCCTTCTTTACTACAGTTCCTGTTGAAGGCTCCTCATTGGCTACCTCGCCTCAGTATAGTCCCGCCCACAAAAAGTCGCTCAGAGCAGCCATTGGTCCATCGTTGCAGGGCTCCACCCACCGCTGCAGTTGAAAACTTTTCCCACTCGTAGAGGTCTCACTCTGGAGTTAGGACTTCACTGGGGGGGGGCGCTGTTCTCCAACCTCCGCTGTCACCATGGTGAAGCCCCCGCTGTCCACCTCAGAACACCGCCGTGCCGCTGCCGCCGCGGTGACCTGCGTGTTCGTGTCCGGGATGCTGCTCGTCTCTGTGGGACATCAGCGCATCCCGGAGCCCCCGGAGCCCCCGGAGCCCTCAGCTGCTGCTGCTGCTGCTGCTACTGCTGCTACTGCTGCTACTGCCGCTGCTGCCGCTGCTGCTGCTACTGCTGCTGCTGCTGCTTCTGCTGCCAGCGGGGAGACTTTCTCGGCTTATTTCAGTAAACTCGGCCGGGAGAGAAGGGCGGTAGGCGGCTCCCCGAGGAGCAGTGCTCCCCCCGGGCCGAGGGAGCGTCTGAGCCCCGCGGACCTCTTCATAGGAGTGAAGACCACCGGCAGGTTTCACCGGGAGAGAATGGAGCTGCTGCTGGACACCTGGATCTCCAGGAACGAGCCCCAGGTGAGGCCTTCGCTGTCTCAACATCCGCTAAAAAACAAAACAAGTGTCAATGACAGTTTACTGGGATCTTAAAAGTGGAGTGAAAAAAGGCCAGTAGGGGGCAGCAATACAACTCAATGCAGCAAGGTATTAGACTGATGTAGAAATCAATATTTGATGCTTTTTAAAACTAGAACAGTATTTCAAATGAAAGGCCGGCGTCACATGGACTGATTCATTCGGTTTTATTGTTTTGGGACAGTGAAGGTTCAGGAAGTTGGAGGTTCTCAGCCCCACAGACCAGAGGAGCTCGGCACTATTTTCAACAAACCACTCTTTGTTGAAATGATAGATTTACTGAAACGGGAAAATGAATTGTAGCCAAAAGCTGATGATCAGTCTGTGGTCAGTCAGTTTTAGATTTAACCTTGGTCTCCTGGTTCCTCCGTGACAGGAAGTGGCTTCATGAATGTCCTCCTCTTTTATAGCAGTTGCAGGGAGTTGTGAGCTGTAAAGTCCAGTCACGTGACCGCTCCAGTGGCCCTTTGATCAGAATTGTAAAACAGAAGTAGAGAGACTTTGTGATGTATGACGTGGACCTGCTGTAACATCAGCCCCACCACATGGAGCTGTGGTGAACTGCAGCCACAGCAGACGTTTTCACTTCAACTCTGAGCAGGGAAGACACAGACAAAGACCACACATCAGCTGACCGTGTGTGTGTGTGTGTGTGTGTGTGTGTGTGTGTGAGAGAGAGAGAGAGAGAGAGAGCAGCACATTCCAGCCTCTGCTCTCACGGTCAGGTGTAGGTAACTCTACCTGACACACTGAAAAACTGCTGAGTAATATAAACATTGCACCAGGACACACACACACACACACACACACACACACACCTACTCATTCTCACAGTGTTACCTTCAGAAAACACAGGCGCCCTCATCAGGTTTATCATGGGAAGATAGAAATGGCCCTGATCACAAGTGTAAACACACACACACACACACACACCTGCTCACAGATGTGTGTGTTCTAGTCGTCTTGTCAGGACACCAGTCTCTGACTTGGGGTCATGTGAGCGGTCTACTTCCTGTCGCCGTTCTCTGACCCTGTGTCTGTCGGTTGCAGGAATTACACAGATCGTGTAGTTCATCAAGTCTGCCTAGTGGGGGTGCTACAGAGAGGGTTCAAATGCCTGTTCAATAAGTTCAATATGACAAAAGAAAATACAGGAAGAAAATACAGGCAGAGTTACTGCAGATGAACCCACCAGCACCATCTACTGGTAAAATGAAGAATTGAGGGTAAATAATCATTATCATTTATATTTAATAATTCAGTGACATTGCACTCTACTGGTGTGTTTTGGTATAACAATTATGATTACTCTACTTTATCCAAGCACCGACTGATCAGGGTTTTTTAACTTGAAGAAACATTTGGACCAGGATCAGATCTTTGGTCTGGTTCTGGTCTGGTTCTGGTTCTGGCCTGGTTCTGGTTCTGGTTCCTCATCAACACAGAGAAAAACAAACACAGACTTATCACTTCCTCCAGCCTCACCGCTGCTGTCACCTCCATGTCCTGGTTCTGGTTCCTCATCAACACAGAGATGATGTGCTGTAAAACTCCCTCCCCCTACAGCCACCACCATGATGTCACACACACACACACACTGACTGTCACAGCTGGACTCTCTCACTCTGAGATCAAGTGTTCCACGGCAGACGGAAGACAGAACTGTTAGAACTAAGTGATGATAAGGAAAACATGTCTCTCGTCTCGTTCTCTTTTTTCTTAGTGTTTACTATTGTAGCTCTTTGTGTGAGATCTGAACATCATCTGCATAAACTGTCAGAGTGCTAATTATTCATTTAGGACAAAACCTTTTTTTCTTATCACCACAAGATTTGAAAAACTGCAGACATCAGCAGCCAACGTGATGATGATGATGATGATGATGATGATGATGAAAATCAGACAACACTGTTGTAATAATTACATCCATTATCTATAATTAAACCCACTTCATAACGAGTGTCCTTTATCAGCCCGGGAGCAGTAGTGTGTCTCAGATCAGTCCAGCAGAGGGAGCAGTAGTGTGTCTCAGATCAGTCCAGCAGAGGGAGCAGTAGTGTGTCTCAGATCAGTCCAGCAGAGGGAGCAGTAGTGTGTCTCAGATCAGTCCAGCAGAGGGAGCAGTAGTGTGTCTCAGATCAGTCCAGCAGAGGGAGCAGTAGTGTGTCTCAGATCAGTCCAGCAGAGGGAGCAGTAGTGTGTCTCAGATCAGTCCAGCAGAGGGAGCAGTAGTGTGTCTCAGATCAGTCCAGCAGAGGGAGCAGTAGTGTGTCTCAGATCAGTCCAGCAGAGGGAGCAGTAGTGTGTCTCAGATCAGTCCAGCAGAGGGAGCAGTAGTGTGTCTCAGATCAGTCCAGCAGAGGGAGCAGTAGTGTGTCTCAGATCAGTCCAGCAGAGGGAGCAGTAGTGTGTCTCAGATCAGTCCAGCAGAGGGAGCAGTAGTGTGTCTCAGATCAGTCCAGCAGAGGGAGCAGTAGTGTGTCTCAGATCAGTCCAGCAGAGGGAGCAGTAGTGTGTCTCAGATCAGTCCAGCAGAGGGAGCAGTAGTGTGTCTCAGATCAGTCCAGCAGAGGGAGCAGTAGTGTGTCTCAGATCAGTCCAGCAGAGGGAGCAGTCGTTTGTCTCTGCTTCACTGCTGCTAAATGAAGCTCAGCTGAATAAGAGGAGTCGTTGTTTCTGTCTCCACAGACGTATGTGTTCACTGATGGGGAGGACAGAGAGCTGAGGAAGAGGATGGGTGAGGACACACACACACACACACACCAATGTATTCTGTAACAGTGAAAGGCAGGAAACAGGAAGTGGGCTGCTGACTGGTCAATGTTATGTTTCCATGACGAGCAGGAAGTCACAGTTGAATCAGCTGGAACTTGGTGGAAAACCTTCTTCCATGAAGACGTAGTCAACAGTTGGACTTGACTGGAACATTACAGTTAGCTACACACCAGCTGTTAGCTTCAGCAGTTAGCTACACACCAGCCAACTACAGTGCAGTCTGATGGTAGGGGTTCAGACAGCCTGTACTGCGTCCTGTACTGCATCCTGTACTGCGTCCTGTACTGCGTACCGTATTGTGTTCTGTACTGCGTCCTGTACTGCGTCCTGTACTGCGTACCGTACTGCGTCTTTCTGGTCCGTCAGGAGCTCAGCTGATCGTCACCAACTGTCCGTCAGTCCACAGCCGTCAGGCTCTGTCCTGTAAAATGGCTCAGGAGTACGACACCTTTATCAACTCTGACATGAGGACAGTCCACAACACACACACACACACACACCCCCTGGTGGTCAGCCAGAGTATGAGTTCTACTGGGTGTTGACTCACAGCAGCCGTGTGTTGCAGGTGGTTCTGTCACGTTGACGACGATAACTACGTGAACGTCGGTTCCCTCCTGAAGCTCTTGTCGGAGTTCGTTCACACAGAAGACGTTTATATCGGTCGACCCAGCCTTGATCGACCGCTAGAGGCCACGGAGCAGCTGGGCGCCGCTGAGACGGTCAGTGCAGCGTCGCTCCGCCCTGTCTCCAAACACCGTCACGTCCTTCTTCACTCCATCCATTTGTGTTCATGTACAGAAGCGGGTGCGGTTCTGGTTCGCCACAGGCGGAGCGGGCTTCTGCCTGAGCCGCGGCCTGGCTCTGAAGATGAAGCCCTGGGCGAGGTAGGGCCTGCCTCCCTTAGATTGAAACTACTTTCTTCTCAGCTCTGTAATCGAACGTCTCTCTTGATCCGCTCTTCTCTGGTTCCAGCGACGGCTCTTTTATGGACACAGCCCAACACATCCGCCTCCCTGATGACTGCACCGTGGGCTACATCGTGGAGGCGCTGCTCGGTGTCGAGCTCCTGCGCTCAGCGTTGTTCCACTCACACCTGGAGAACCTGGGACTAGTGACAGACATACAGAACCAGGTACGGACTGCTGGCGTGAGAGGTCAGTTACCAACTAACGACGGTTAGACCGCCCCACGCACCGAGCCCAGGCGTGTCATACGCGGCGAGCGGCCCTCTGATGAGGCGACGAAGCCTTCAAAACTGCTCCACCACTTGGAGAGCGAGGGTTCTGCATTAAAACGACGCTGCTGACAAAGTCGACCACACAGTGGATTCATGTTCCTTATTATATGTTTATTAAAGGTCGGTCCGTGAAAAAATGTTCAGACATTTACGTCGTCTTTTCAGGTGACACTGAGCTACAGCACCGTGGAAAACAACGAGAACACCGTCAATGTGAAAGGAGCGTTTTCTACCAACGAGGATCCCAGCAGGTGAATATATGAATAACAGTAGATATGTCATTCCTCGGCCTCTGAATTCACTTCAGGAAACATTGGTTTTTGTGTTAACTACAGATTGTACTAGTTTTACTACAGTTTCTCGTTTCACATAAATACTTCTGACTGTGTGTGTTTTACTACTACAAGTTTCCTGCCTTTGTTCATTGTCTGTATTTGTATTCTTTGTATTCTGTCTTTTATTTTGAATTCCCCGTTTGGCGACTTCCTGTCATTGTGTCACTGTTGTCCTTCTGTGTCCCAGGTTCAGGACGGTCCATTGTCTCCTGTATCCAGACACTCCTTGGTGTCCCAACGTCTGGAAACTCTGACCGCCAGCAGAGGGGGGTGGGACACGGGGGAGGG